GGCCGTGCGCTGTCGGCACGGCCGCTCTGGGCGACGAAAGCGTGAAACCGACAGTCAGTAACAGTACTCAATATATCCTCAGGTTATCAGCACCGACATCGACAACGCTGCATGTGCGTACCTCACAGGCAGTTGTGTGTGTGTGTGTAACTCTCCACATGCGCGCCATGCCCCAGGGGTCGCCAAGAGAGTGCACCCACCCATATCGACACAGAGATCAGTCCCATCGGCGCAGCGAGGGCAGTGCGGGCCCACGCGTTCCCATAGTCCACAGGCTGTCAATCCCAACCCGCTCCCATTCCTTCCGCCCCGTGAACCTGCCGGCGGCGGATAGGTCTCTCAAATAAGCTGGACTCCTCCCGCCACCGGCGCGCGCAGCCTGCGCGCGACGCCAAATCCGATGCCGCCGACGGCGCCCATCGCCAGGCCGGCGCCGAGCAGCGTTGCGCTCGAGCCGCCAGAGTGTTCTGCGCTGCCGCTGCCGTCCGACAGCGACGAGGGCGCGCCGTGGAAGACATAGACCGCGCCGGGCGGGAACGGGGACGGCGCCGGCGGAAGCGGCGGAGGAGGCGGCGGAGGTGGTGGAGGGGGAGGGGGAGGGAGCGGCGGGGAGGGCGGCGCCGCCGGTGGCGCCGGGGGAGGCGGCCACCCCTTGAACAAGTAGGCTAGAAGATTGAGCAGCCAGCCGCCGTCCACGTCCACGTCCGCCGACGCGACGAGGGCGCCAGCCTCCCCCGACGCGATGGCGCGGCGGAGCGTAAAGGGGGCGGCGGCGACGGCGGCGGGGAGGACGGGGAGGAGATCGAGCAGCTCCGCCGCGCGCGGCCGCCAGCCGAAGCTCACGGCGACGCCCTGCTCGCCCGACGTCGCGCCGAGCCGAAACGGCCACCAGTCCGGCTCGAGCTTGACGTCGGCGGGCGGCGAGAAGGAGAAGCCCGCCTCACGTTGCGCGGCGTGCGCCTCGGCGCGCCAGTCGGCGCCCGTCGCGCGCGCAGTCAGCGTCGCCCCGCCAGCGACGGCCTCTGAGGCGCGGGCAAGCAGCTGGGAGAGGGGCCACTCCTTGCCGCCCGGGCCGGCCGCAGTCTCGATGGAGATGTTTGCGACGGTCGCCCACGCGGCCTGGGAGAGGGCCGAGACGGCGAGCAGGCCCGTGCTGCTGTGCGCGTAGCCGCCGGACGAGGAGAGGAGCCCGTCGAGCGAACTCTGCACGCTGATTGCGGGCCGCTGCGCCAGCACGCCGCTCACCGCCCGCAGCAGCGCCTGCAGCGTCGGCGGCTGCTTGCCGCCGAGCAGCGCCGCGAGCGGGCCGAGCGAGCCGGCCGGCAGGAGCAGCGAGAGCGCGTCGGCCGTGGTGGGGAGCTGGGCGTCCAGCGGCGGTCCGACCGCCTTTGCGGCGCACTCGAGCGTGCTGCCCGCCGTCGCCTCGCGCTTCAGGCCTTTGGAGGCGCAGCGCAGCGCGGCGGCGGCGGCGGGCGTGGCGGCGGCGGCGGCGGACACGTCGGCGTAGAGCTTGTCGGCGATGCCGTCGAGGGGGAAGCCGGCGAGGAACGCCTCGAGCAGCGGCGGCGCCCAAGTCGACAGGCGGCCCTCGACCGCCGCCAGCGCGCACTCGGCCGTCTCGGTGGGCGTCCCCTGCGAGGACGGGTCGTGGACGTGTGACGGACGCGTCCTCCGAGCTCGGCCCTCGGCCGGCTCGGCTCTACCCTCCCGCAGCGAGCCCGACCAAGATCTCGGGCGCATCTCGGGCGCATCTCGCATCTCGCATCTCGGAGGAGTCCTCGCCTCGCCAGCGGCTAGCTTGGCGGCGCAGCCGTACGCGCGGCTGAGCGCGACGATCCCGGCGTCGAGCTCGGCCACTGCCTCGGCCGGCAGGGCCGCCTCCAGCAGGCCGGGCAGCGTGATGGCACTCGCCCACGACACCCAGCCGGAGCCGGCGAGGTTGCGCATCGCGGGCATCAGCGCGCCGAGCAGGCCGCCTGCAAGGGGGGCAGGCAAGGGGGGGTGGGGAGGTGAGTGAGGAGGGGGCGGGGGCAGGTGGGAGAGGGAGGGCAGCGAGGCGACTTGGCGGGCGGGCGGGCGGGTGGGGCAGGGGGGGGGGGGGGAAGGGGGGTGTGGCAGCGCTCGCCTGAGGCGGCGAGGGCGCAATCGAGCGACGCGGCAAAGGAGGCGGGCGCGTCGGGCGGCTGGTGGACGAGGCAAGCGAGCTCGTCCGACGGGCGGAGCAGCGCCTCGCGCGCCAGGGCGGCGGCGGGGGTGCCGCCCGAGAGGGAGTCGAGCGCGGCGCCGAGGTCGTCAAGCGGCCCGCGGGCAGCGCCGAGCGCGCACCGGCCGAGCGGCGCGAGGTGGGAGGCGATGGCGCGCAAGTTGTCGGCCCCGGCGCCGGCGCCCTCGCGCAGGGAGACGCCGGGCGTGCCGCCGCCCAAGCAGTCCGCGGCGGCGATCGCCGCCAACGCCGCCGCGCCGTGCTCGGTCGCCTCTGCCGCGGCGGCGCGGCCAGAGGCGTACAGACCGTGCGCGTCTCCGAGCATCAAGTCCGACAGAGAACGGTCCGCCTTTGGCTCTGCGGCGTCGAGCGGCGACCGCAGCGCCGCGGCGGCGCACCGGAGCGCGGCGGACGGCCTCTGCGACCCCCCCTTTGCGACGGCAGCAGCGGCGCACGCGGTGAGGGGCGCCGCCGCCTCGTCCGACACGGCGACTGCGGCGCTCCGCAGCGTGTCGAGCGCCGCCAGGGAGGAGAGAGCGGACGGGGCGGGGCCCGCCGCGGGCAGGCCCGTGAGCGAGCACAGGACCGCCGCCTCGCAGGCGAGCAGCTCGACCTCCGACGCGGGCCGCCACCAGAGCTGCAGCAGCGGCGAGCTAGCCTCGCCGCTGATGGCGCCGTCGCCCAGCGCGGCGACGCGCGCCTCCGACGGCTCGCACGCGCCGAGCTGCGCCGAAGCGCGCGAGACGCCCGCCCACCGCGCGCGCCACTCGCCGCTCACGTCGCGCGAAGCGACGCCGCCGACGGTGGAGGCGTGCGCGACGAGGGTGGAGCTCAGGCCCGCTCCGCCGGCCGAGGTGAGGGCGGCGGTGAGGTCGACGGCGAACCGTCCGCCCGATGCGGTCGCGCGGGCCGGGCCGCCGCCTGCCCACTCGGCGGGGCCAAAGGAGACGGAGGGGGAGAGGGCGGCGTCGAGGCCGTAGTGCCCGCCGCGCCACAGGGTGGGAGAGAGCAGCGTGGCGGTGGAGAGGCGGTAGGTGAGGTGGCCGAGCTTGCGGGCCTAGGCAGCTTACGGGCGGCGGGTGAGGGTGGTGCTGAAGACTGCAGTGGCGCAATGAGCGGCCGGCAGGCGCCGTCTCGATGGCGGTGGAGAAGGGCAGCGACGAGAGCGCGACGCTCGCCATGTACCCCTCGTGCCGGGGCGGAGGCTGCTGAGGCGAGCCGGCGTCCGCTGTCTGGCGCAGAGCAGCCTTGCCCGCGAGGGCCGCCTCCGTGCCGCCGCCGCCGCCGCCCGGCGCGTCGGCGGGCGCGGCGCCGGCGGCGCGCGAGTCGTTGAGCGAGCAGCGGATGTCGACCGAGAAGAGGTTGGACGGGGCCGCTCCAACGCCGCTGGACGCGTTGATCCAGCCGAGGGAGAGGAGGGACGTGTCGAGGTAGGTTGAGTGCGCCGCCGCCGGAAGCGCCTCCGGAGTGAGCGGAGTCGGCCGGACCAGGCCGCCCTCCGCCGTCACGTCGGGAAGCGTCAGGCGGGAGGGGGCGTCGGCGAGGGCCGCCGTGGCGTTGGTGAGCACGGTGCCGAGCAAGTCGCCCACCTGAGTGTGCGAGTGCGGAGGGAAGTGCGGTGCGAGTGCCGTGCAGTGTGTTCGGGGCATCGCATGCGGCTACGAGCACAGCGGCTAATTTGCAACACAGCACAGTGGGGATGGATCCGAAAGTGTGTCGTCTCTCGAGTGTGGTGTGCAACGCTAGAGAACGGGGTCAATCTCCTGTCGCCCACCACCGGACCGAGCAAGATGCCAAAGATGCCGTTGAGCCCGCCGAGGCCTACGCTGCGAGTACACGGGGGTCAGGGTGCGAGTGTACCATCGGCAGAGCATCCGGCCGTGAATGCGAGGGATGCTACTACACAAGACTGGGCGTGCGTATTCGATGGAACGGAAGAGTGCAGATGTGTGTCCAGCAGTTAGGTGGAGGGCCGTCAAAGGCGCCGCCGAGTCCAAACGCGACCTGCAGCGCCACGTGGCCCACGTCCGGCACGATCGACACCTCCCGCGCGCCCAGCTCGAGGCTGCCCGAGGCGCCTGCTCGGTTGCGCATGGCATGAGCATGGTGTATGCGCGTGGCATGCGAGCGAGTGGCGGGTGCGCTCACCGCGCCGCGCAGTGAGCGTCAGGCTGGCGGACGACCCGTTCTTGAGCGTCCCCTCCACGGGCCCGCACTGCCATATCGTGGCCCACCCCCACCCCGTGCCCCAGCAGTAGTCTGCCATAAACTGCGCCGAGAGGCCGTCGACTTGGATGGCGAGCACGTCGCCTTCGACTGCGACTGC